GGAAGTGAATAAGCATTTATATGGTATCTACTGTATGCCAGACACTGTGCTGAATGCTTTAATGATAATGGTTAACATTTATGTAGCACCTACTATATGCTAGCCATTGTTGTAAGTGTTTTACATATATTATTTCATTTGATTCTCACAACAACTCTGTGACATTATTATCCCTTTTTTACAGATGAGGAAACTGAGGCAAACAGAGGTTAAGTACCTTGTCCAAGGTCACACAGCTATTAAGTACCTGAGGCTCTAATTGAATTAAAGTCTTCCTGATTCTAGATCCAATGGCGCAACCTGCCTGCTTCTACCTTGTCAGAGGAAACACCCCTCTATGTCACTGTATTAAGGAAATAGACAGACCTCTTTCAATACCACCCAGACACTTTTTTCCTTTCCCTATTCAGAGGACAGACCAGAATACAACAGAGCGAACCTGAGTCTTCCTACAGGGAAGCTTGGCACTACCACCATCATCATCACCATCATTATCAAAAACAAGTATTTATTAAGCTCCTACTATGTGCCAGGCGCTATACTAAGCACTAAAGACACAAAGAAAGGCTAAAGCGTAGTCTTCCCTCTCAGGAGTTCTACATCATCTAATAGAGGAAACTACATGCAAATAAGTGCATATATACTGTGATCTCAAAGAGAAGACACTAGCAGTGGGGCACGGGTGTGAGGGGGAAAATGGGAGATGCCTCTTGAAGAAGAAGGGATTTGGACACTATGAGAAACCTAGGAATTTTTTCCCAAGGGAAGTTTATGACCTACTGTGAATTCTTTCTATGGCTCCCCATGAGTCCTTTGTATCTTTTATGTTTTCTGTGAGGTAAAATAAAGACCATTTTCTATCCAATATGCATTTATTGCCATGAATATAAAGGACATACCAACATTTATAGTATATTTGGAGTTTCCAAAAGTAATGCATAGGTGGGAGCATGTTAGTTAAAATTTTTTTTAAAAATGACTTTTTGTGTCAGGCCCCAATATTGTTTTTGTGACTGCAAAGCTTGGGGCCCCTGAGCTGCTTATTATAGGAAGATGCTGCAGCTTTCTTATGACTAGTATGCATCTCACTAAAATGACTAGTATGCATTTTAGGACTCTTTTTTTTCTTTAATCTTACAAGATTCACAATCATAAACATTGTTCGGTTGGTATTTGTATTTAAAAATTTTTTTTTTTTGTTCCAGGGAATAGTTTGGGAACACTGAAGCACTGCATAGTTTCTAAAAGGCAATAAAGGGCAGCTTGGTGGCGCAGTAGATAGAGCACTGGCCCTGGAGTCAGGAGGACCTGAGTTCAAATCTGGTCTCATACCAGACACTTGACACTTACTAGCTGTGTAACCATAGGCAAGCCACTTAACCCCAATTGCCTCTCCCCAAAATAAAATAAAATAAAAGGCAGTAAAATCAACTCTTACCTCTTATTCAAATTTGGGTACAATGCATTGTGTATCCTCAGTGCCTATACCAGAAACTGACACACATATATATCGGTAAATATTATAAATACACACACACACACACATACACACACATATATATATATATATATATATATATACACATACATACATATATGTGCATATATACACATACATATACACATAAACAATACACATGTATATGTATTTCTGTTTGTATATGTATATGCATATGTATGTACTGTTGTTGCATATACACATATATATGTATGGATGTGTATATGTATCTCTCTCTCTCCTGACGTTGTTACTCAACTGCATGTCATAGTCATAAGTATATTTTAACCATTAAATATGGTCAATCTCTTTTGAATAATCACAGATATCATTGAGGTGCCCCAGTAAAGTTCTGAGCCTTGATTTAAACAGTATAATATCATCTACAAACACAAGAAGACCCTGGAGAGCCTCACCATTTATAGGGAATACCTTATCCACTTGGAACCTGTGCAGGAATATTTAAGAAGGTCAGTGGTCAGTGCCTTGGTGAGCATACATCCCCTTGTTTTTATCCCCCAGTAACTGTTCATACTGTAATCAGAGAATTGTTAAAGTCTCCACAATTGTATTTGTCAAGGAACCATGTATAACCTTAACATATGCACAAGAGACTCCTTGTTTCAGGAGAGCATTGCTTAAGGCTATGCTCTATGAAGTCAAATGCTTTTTGACAATCAACAAAGAATAAAGGCAGCTGTAGCTTGTTTCTTTTCCACCTTCCAGACAATTATATGACTGTAAAGATGCTGCAAAATATAACTTGTGAAAGCTTGCTTGTTCCTTTTCATTCTGTATCTCATCATGGATACCCTCAGTGGGCATGTAGCACATACTTCGTGTGGGTTCACCAAAGGCATTTAGTGCTGTTGGAAAGGAGTTTCATAAAGATTTTATAAGAATGAGAAAGTAAGCCTATGGTTTGTTAGTTGATGTCTTTTTTGGATATCTAGATAGATATGTGGATAGAACACGTGGCCCAGAGTCAAGAAGGTGTGTTCAGTCATGACTCTTTGTGACCCCATTTTGAATTTTCTTGTCAAGGAGACTGGAGTGGGTTGGAGTTCAAATCCAGCCTCAGACAGTTGCTATTTGTGTGACCTTAGGCAAGTTATTTAACCTCTGTTTGACTTAGTTTCCTTATCTGTAAAACAGGAATAATAAGAGCACCCAGTTTCCTTATCCGTAAAATGTAAATAATGATAGGATCTACCTCACTGGGTTGTCAGGAGGATAAAATGAGGTAATATTTGTAAAGTGCTTTGTAAATCTTAAAATGCTATACAATGCTAGCTATTACTGGTAACCTGAGGGTAGGGAGTAATAATACCATTGATGATTCTTTTTCAATTCTTTCAGCACTTTTACCTCCCTGAAATAGCTAATAAAACAATCCCTTAATGTTTTCAAGATTGTGTTGCCTCAAGCACTGATTTCCATGGTATGGGCTTAGTCTGGTCCATGCCTTCCGGCTCTTTCCAGCTTCATCTTAAGAGCCTTTGAATGTCTGAGTATAATACTTTGGAGACTAAGGGGTTTGAGTCCCAAAATAATGAGTCTGCTATAATTGATCATGAAAACAGATCACTACAAAAATTCTCCCCCACCCTCTCCCAACACATACACATTTACCATACTTTTTTTTTTTTGCCCTGCTGCTATTTTATCTATGAATGCTCTGTAGATGATGTGGCTTATTTTGACTCCTACCTCTCAGTAAGCTTATTTTCACTTTCATTCTCTCTTTTTTTATATATAACAAAATAACATGGCTTATAATCTTCTGCTTTCCTCTTTTATATTGTTTTGAAAACAAAATTTCTTATTCACTGTTGATTTTGACCCTATGTCTTTTCACTTGGTAAGGAGATTAAGCATTTGTTGGCTAAGATTATTTCTGAGCTCTTAATTTGCTTCTTGTGGTAACTGCTTTACATTGGTTAAACTTTTGTAGGAAATGATGATGTCCAAGGTCAATATCTTTGTCTTTTTTCCATTTCCCATTTTTCTGCACTGCTGACTCGTTTGAAAGGATCAGGTTGAAGTTGCTGTAATTATTCACAATACTTTTCTCACATCCTTTCTTCTAATTTGATGTTGATTTTGATCTTTGCTCTAACTAGTCAATAATTTCACTGCACAGCTGATTCTGATATGATTCCCATATCAGCAACTCCCATGGGGGAAAAACAACCTCAGCCCCAAACTGACTTATAAAGGAATTATACCAAACATTTATAGAAGAAATAATCACAATGTCACATAAACCATTAAAAAAATGATTGAAGGTCTCTGCCGAAGTCCTTCTATGAATTTAACAAGCTCCTTCTATGAAACAAATGCAGTTCAAATACCAAAATCAAGGAACTATAAAGCAGAGGAAAATAACTATAAACTAATGTTACTAATTTTAAAAAAGTACTAAATGAAATATTGTGAAATAGACTTCAGCAATATATTGACCAAATACTTAATTATGGCCATCAATTTTTTTCAGTCAAAATCAGTAAAATAATTAATATAATTAACTATATTCATAGCAAAAAACTGAAACCCAATACTACCCTCACCAAAAGATTATAATAACAAAGGTCATAATAACCTAATATTATTTCGTCTTTTGACAGGACTATTACACTGGTAGATCAGTCGAACGCTATAGATAGAGTTCACACATATTTTAGCAGAGCCTTTGATAAGGTATCTTGTGCCCTGAGTCAAAAGGAAAAGGGAAGGATGAGCTGGGAGTTTCTCTCTCACAATGTGGGGGAAGAACCAGCTTATTGGAGCTCTGATCCTCTATAGATGTAAGATGACTGCGCACAGAGTCAGTGTGGAACAATGCATGGGTGTGATGGGTAGAGACAACATGGAACTCTGGATGTGTGGGGTCACTAAATAGCTGATGTTCCAACATTTCAGTGACATTGAATGCCACCTTATTGCCAGTCCAACCCATTCTAAAATGTGGGGCAAGAACAATGAGGCATACTCAGACGACAGGCACTCTCAGTCTCTAAAATGATAAAAACTACTGGCCCCTGGTACCTTAATGATCTGAAGGTCATGCAAGGTGTGTTATAGATCTGAGTGTCCTTCAGAGCAGGCCCTCTATAAATGTTGGTGCTTTGGGCCTCAGTTGGTAGAAAATTCTATAAATGAAATAAATAAATATATAAAAATACATAATATATATTATATGAAGATATGAATGCTAGTTGTTATAGCTATGCTAATGAGCTAATTATGATGGATTTCATTAATAAATTAAAATCTTGAGTCTCCTTCCCCCTCCCCCCCAAAAAGAAAATTCGCTAGTCTTGAATTTCATTTCTATCTGGGGCCTTTCCTTGTTCAGTCTTCCTGTAGTTTGCTTCCAATACGGCCTTTTGGTTTGTCTGTCATCCAGGTCTGTCCGTCTGTTATGCTTAGACAGCTGTATGCTCTTCCTGAGATGCTTAAACTTCCTCGTACCCTTTCTTTTCTTTCATTATTTTTGCAGGTGCTATCGATGAACATTGTGTTACATTTTAGAAGTACTGGAAATGCTGCTCCCAGTTCTCAGAGCCATGGACCTGTCATTCATCTGAACAGCTCCTGATGTCCTCCTGCCCTTCACTTGGCTCCCAAATAATTTCCCCAGATAAGTTTTAGTCTTTCCTAGGGTTAGAAGCAACTCAGTCCCTAACAAAGTAGGGCACTCAATAAATACCTTATTGAATAAATGAGTAAAAGAAAGAATAAGGGGACCAAGGCAGTACATCTTGAATGGATAGAGGATTTGGTTCCTTGATAAACAGTTGAGTCCATCTTTTATGGCCATACAAGATAGACTGAAAGAACTCTATTGAATCTTGGAGTGACCCAGAAGTTCAGGAACAGAAGGAAACCACTTTCTTGTGAATTTGGAACTTCAGGCAATCCCTTTCTCCAATATTCATTTTATCCTTACTCTTCTTAACTCTTTCAAGCCAAGAAATTACTGTCTAGCAAATGACTGCCATTTTTTACTCAGTTGGGCTGAAATCATTAAGGCTTTTTCCAGATTCTAAACAGACATCTGGCTCAATGTTTGCCTTTTTCTAGGCAGCAGGAATTAAACATTCAGCAATATTGGTTTCTTGGTTTCTCTAGGGAAGTGGCTCTTTCGGAAATTGTCCCTGTATGTTTTCTTGTTTGGCTTGTTGGAAATTGTACCTCTTGGACAGGCAGTAGTATTTCTATTTCTCATGGTTATGGGTCAGGGCTCTGACCTCCATGTGTTTAAAATCCTTCAATTTTGAATAAAATGCATTTACACAATTCTTCTGACACTGCATTGCCTGAGCTGCGCAAAGGCTAAATCTGGAAAGGTTTAACAGATCAGAATCAATTCTTCCACTTATGCACAAGGGATTAACACAGGCAACTCCCATTAATGTTAATCATCCAAACCTCTCAACTATTAAAGTTTCACTGCTCTCAGGGAAAGAAATCACACATTAGAAGGAAGTGGATAGGAAAGTAAATTATTCCCATACATCTTAGTGCATAGGGAAAAGGGTTGGGGGAGAGAAAGGGTACGTGCATAGAAGACATTTGGGAAATTAAGGTGTTTTCATTACAGAATAGTGAAGAGAAGTCCTTTCTTACCATGTCTCTCTACCTCGCTTTGGCTGAGCAGGCCTACCATCTGTGTTGGCAGGAAGTTTGCCCTTAGCTGTCTGGTGTCATGATGTTTCTCAATTCTGGAGTACCTGCCCTGGTTCCTGGCATTGGCCAAGCTGCCTTTCTGGACTGTAGTTGCATGGATTGGCGGAGGGTCGATGGATTGAATACAGGATTGGACCGATAAAGACCTAGATTCTGGATATTATCCCCCACTGGCTCACCATAAAGCTCTGGACAAATCATTTAGCCTCACTGTGCCCACTTTTTCTTCCATTAAATTGGATTGGGGATCATTTACCTCACAGGATGGGTGGGATCTGCAGATCATATTTTAGCACTTGGGGGATACATGACACTTTGCCTAGGCGATGGGAAGGATAAATCATTGGAGGTTATGTTTGCCAAGAGAAAGAGTTGTGCAAATGTGAAATAACATGGTCTGTCAAATCTGTTTGGGCCTCCTTTACGATGGATGATTAACACATAAATCACCACAGTGGAAAATTAAGTGCTTCCATGGTTATGGATCGATTGGTATAAAAACTGGCGGTAGTATTTAAAGTATACAGACCAAGCTGGCTGTCACCCATCCCACATCCCTCTTCCTCTACTCACCTACCCAAGGCCTGCTCTCTCCCTCTCCCTGATTAAATTCTGCCCTGATACTAGCCACTGAAATGCTTTGTATTTAATTTTTCCTTATTGTGATCATATTGTTTTCCTTTAATAGAGCGTCATCTCCTTCAGACAGGGACTGTTTCCCTTTATCTTTGTATCTAGCACATTATATACATACATACATACATATATATATATATATATATATATATATATACACATATACACACACACATATATATCTGTATATATGTATACATACACACACACATAGAATATATATATATATACACACACACACACCCACCATATATATGTACCTATCTATCTATCTACCCAATAAATTCTGGTTGAATTGAATTCATCAAATTCTGAATAGTACAAATTCCAGTCCTTCCAGATTCTCCTCTAATTTTGATATTCATTCAGGATAGTTAGGGACTATCATTTCATTGGTATAATGAGCTCCTAGATGCCTAAACTTCCTCTACCAATGCAATTTGGCACCTTTGCTGCCATTTATCAAATATAGAGAGGTGTTTAGAACATTAAGTCGTTATGTGGCTTGCCCAGAGACAGAGGTGGGCCTTGAACCCAGGTTTTTTTGATTATCTTTTGACTCTGACAACTTAACCTGTAATATATCTTGTGTGTGTGTGTGTGTGTGTGTGTATGGGTGTTTCTACATTGTCTCCCCAATTGAAGGTAGGGAATGTTTAGCCTTTGTTTTGCAGCTAGGTAGTACCAGTGGGTAGTGCACAGGCCTTGGAGTCAGGAATATCCCTCAATTTCCTCAACTGTAAAATAAGTATAATAATAGAACCTACCTCACAGGGTTATTGTGAGGATCAAATGAAAAAATATTTGTACTTAATAGATACTTGTTCTTTTCTCCTTCTTTCCTCAGTGCTTAGCATGGAGCTAAGCACATGACAAGCACTTTATAGATGCTTGCTGACTTGAAATGACTTCATGTCCAGTACCTTGCTAAGTTGTAGGGGATACAAAAAAGTGTAGCATGTGTTTCTTGTCTGAAAGATTTTATATCTATGTCACACAATGAATAGCTAGAAAACAAGAGATAACTATCAATTTAAAACGAAATGATGAGGGTCCTATGGGCCAGACCATAATTAATGGTCAAATTGTGAACTCAGAAGAAGGAAAGATTACTGGAAGCTGAAGAAATAGAAGACTTCATGAAGGAGGTCAGGCTTGAGTTGGACTTTGAAGGATGGATACAACTTGGACAGGTAGGGAGGACTGGAAAGGGTATTCCAGGTAGTGAAGTTCCCTCCAAAATCTCCCTCTTCACCCTGTCTAGTTATATCTTTCCCAATTCCCAAGACTAGGTACTTGACTAACCTTCTTCATTGATGCTGATCTGGGATGCATCTGTTTTTGTTACAGTAGATTGAAGTTTTTTTCTGCTTTAAACACTTTCATCTCTGATTTCTTTAACCTACTTTGACCGACTAAAGAGGTAAGCAGACTACTTTTACATTTCTCTGTGCCAACACCACAACTTCTGAGATGATTTCATAGGAAGGGAATGAGGTGGATCAAGAAGATGCTAATTGTTAGATGCTAATAATAATACCAGGCAATATTTCAAACCAGTCTTTCAAAAGCATATACAGTTCTGTGGGTTGTTGGTGGCTATGCTAATCTATATGTAGTGAGAGTGTGTATTCCTGACATGGATGATATGGACGAAGAACTTGGCTTGGTGTTTCTGCCAAGATTTCCTCCTGAAAGCAATTATCAGAATTCACCATATGATTTTAATTCTTTGCGGATTTCAAAGGAAGTGCTCCACCATTTTTTTTTGTTTGTTTTGAGCAGGGATCTGGTTATGAAGATGGTAGCTTGTGTGCATTATTTAGAAACTATCATGTCTCTATCCCTCCTGGAAAAGGAGAAGAACAGAATTGTCTCAGTGGCTTTCAACACCAGAAATGGAGAAAATAGAGAAGGGTAACTCCTCTAAATATGGGCAATCTGGGCAGCTGTACTTGGATTAATAATATGAATTTAAACATTTTCCCAACCCCTCATCCATGAGACATGTCTGGTATGGAATTTAATGTTTAAATTTCGCTCAAATTTGAGAATCATATAATGAAAATACCAACACTTCAGTGTAGTTTTGTCCTTGGTTGCACACATGCAACTTCAAAGGACACTGCATGAACAAAGCTGACAGCAGGATTTGCCTCATTGTTATTCTGAGTACTACATAGTGCTATTTGGCTTGGCCTTGAGAGAAGTTTCCAGGGTAGTGCATGGGGATTTGTCTGCAAGACTATGTCGAGGCATGTGTTAAAGGAACCATATAAAAAAAAAATTAATATTGCCATATGGGTGGTGAAGAGAGATAGAGTTCAACAGTTAACCACCCATGTAGCCTTGGGCATATCACTTTTTTCTGTGTCTGGTTGTTGCCCTGCTTTACAGATTGTTTTTAAAGGTCAAATGCTACACTTTTTAAACTCAATTTCTATAGCAGTGTTTTCTAAATATTTTGGATTGCAAACCCTATCAGCAAAATATTTTTGAATGTGTATGTGTATTTGTTATTATATGCATATTTGCTAATTTACAAATTATCTATAATATATTAACATATTATCTATGTTATATAATTAGAAACAATATATTTATCTATTATTAATATCATGTATTTTATTATATAATAAAATAATATGATAAATAAATATATTGATTATGTGATATAATAAATATATGATATACTATTGATATAATTATGTGTTATTTTATATGTATATGTGTGTATATAGCCATACATATACATACATACATGTATATCTATGTATATACATATAACACAGATACATACACACATATGTTTTTGGCTTTGGGGGCTAGGTGACACTGAATGAGTGGTGGCACTGGGAGACTCCTTATATCAACTTGGGCCCCAGGACAGATTGTATATAAGGGGCCTATGATCTCTTTGCTATTTTAATTCAGATGGCTCAAACCTACAACTGGGACCAATGGTGAAGATGGAAGTATTCTCATTTATTTGTTGAAACGGATGTTCATAGTTGCTCCTGGCCATCATGATTAAACAATTATATCCCCCAAAATTGTTACGAACTGCCCCTGATATCACTCTGTCACTGTTTTAGGAAGATTGACTATGTTGGTTAGCACTTTTTGTAATTTTTCTTATGTTTTAACCTGACTCCCATATCTGTTTTTTAGGGTTGTTCTAAGATTGTTTTATGGTGTGGAAGGTCCCCTAGAGAACTTTTAGGACCTTTTCAGCAAGGGTGGGATATGGTAGGCACTTAACCATACTTGGGCAGCTGGTCCTTTCCCACTACTGCAGACACTGAAGGCAAGCTCCCAAAGCTATTGCAGCTTTAGATGATTATTTGGCCCTGCCCTTTGGCTCAGCCCCATCTGACATCTTAGATACCTGGCAGCCTGAGTTATAAAGGGCTTAATCTCTGGTGACTGCAGAAGAAGAGTTATATTTTATATCCATTTTATTCTTAAATTGTGTTTTTTCAATGCTTAAATAGTAGAGGTGAGTTTTAATTGGATTTTATGGTCCATAACTGCTGATTGCATTTTAAACATTTTAAACTACAGAACCTGATGGACTGGCCTAATTTAGGGACTACAATAGCAGGAACACTTTAAAATCATCTGTCCATTTTGTGAGGGTTAGTTGAGTTAGAACTAGATAGTATAATCCACAAATCTATTTAACTGGGTCCATGTAAACTGTAACACACTGCAATAGATTGAAAACAAATAAATGAGTGAAGGCACCATTATCAATTACTTTACATTGCATAACTTGAACTCTTCTCTCAGGAGACCTTTCATTCCTTATGTGACACAGAATCATATGACATATACACTGACTGGGTGTATGTGTCATTTATGTATTAAATCCTAATGAGGTTTATTTTTTTTCTTAATTTTAGATAAAAGTAAATAGAAATAGAAATTCTAATATTTTCTTTTGGTACCCCAATGGATCAGCTTGCTTGCATAACCCTTCAATCGTATGTAGCCTACTTTGGAGACCTGCTGCACTGTTAGTTACTATAATCACATACCACATCCATTATAATCATAGATCACATTTATCTTATATCTCAAAGCTTACAAAACTCTCTCCTCACAATAACACTGTGGAGCAAGAACTGTTATTCCCATTATATAGATGTGGAAAAAGAGGCTTCTAGGAAATTTTTTTTCCAGTTACATAGCTAATGAGTGTTTGAGTCAGAGTTTGAACCCAGGTTTTGTGACTTGAAGATCATTGTTTTTTCCCCCCACAGTTCCACATTACATTTGTGTGACCCTGGGTAAGTCACTTAACTTCTGTTTGTCTTAATCCAGTGGAAAAGGAAATAGCAAACCACTTCAATATCTTTGCAATAAAACCTCATAGACAGTATTGGCCTGCAATGGTTCATGGGGTCATAAAGAATGGAGACACAACTGAATGATAACAAAAACAGTAGTGGGACATTAGACTTTTCTTATCTAGTAAGCTCTTTGAGGGCAGGGAGTGTTTCTTTTTTTGGCTTTGTATCTGTAGAGCTTGGGGCATATGGAGTGTTCAGGGAGGACCAGCATCTACCCTGTGAAGGCTTGCCAAGCCCTTTTCAGGGCTACTCATCTACCTTTGGTATCCACCTTTCACCAACTCTCACCTGTGACTCCAAGAAGCTGTAACATGTACAGGAGCCACGACCCAGTAAACCATCTCAGCAGAAGGGCTAAATCAGGTTGAGGGTAACTGATAGGCCTCAAACCCATTGGTGAGTTAGGGGGATGTCTATCCCGTGCATGTGAAGATGTGTCCTGGCAGAACTGATGGATGAGAACAATTTGTTCCAATGGCAATGAAGGCAGCAGAAGCAGGTGCTGTGGAGTGCTTAGAGCTTGGTCAGACTTCAGAGATGCCACTGCATCCTGGGCCATCTCCAGTCATCTTGACTTTTATCCTGCCACTGGACTTAGATGACTCAGGAAGAGAGCATGAGACTGACAACTTCATGCAATTCTGCCTCGCTTCAATCCCATTCATGCTTAAGTCAAGACATCACCCAGTGATGTTATTGATCCTCCTTGAAAAAATGAAGAACAAGCAACACTCCCTAGAGCTTATCACAATGCTTGGTGCATTTGTTGTAGACACCTAAAAAATGCTTAAATCGAATTGAATGAAAGGCTTATTAAGTGGGGCCAGATTATGGATTCCTGTGACTGCCTGGCTAAGGAGTTTGGAATTTATTTAGTAAGCAATGAGGAACAGGGGAGATTCATTTGGCAGTAGGGAGATCATCTGAAACCAGAGAGCCAAGTGAGCAAGCTTTTGCAGTAGTTCAAGTATAAATTGATTATGACCTGGAGAATAGAGCACTTAACTTCAAGAGTGAGGAAGACCTGGGTTTGCATCCCAACTCAAATGCTTAAGGATGATGTGACCCTAGGGAAGGTACTTAATCTTTCTGGGCTGGGCATCAGTTTCCTTGTCTGCAAAATTAGGGATTGGAATCAATGATCTCTAAAGTCGCTTCCAACTCAAAATCTGTGATATTTAGGCAGTGATGGTAATAAACTGGAATTTAAAAAGAGGGAATTTATCCAAGAACCATCAGAAAGGTAGAAGTGATATCACTTGGTGATTGATTGGGTGAGCAGTGAGTCAAAGATGATTTTGAATTTTTGAGAATAGTAAGAACCATTATCAGTGGCTCCATCTGCCTCAAGTATTTCCCCAGTGCAAGTATTTTCCTCCAGATAGCTATCAAAGTGATTTTCCTAAGGTACAGGTCTGATCTCCAATAGCTTCCTATTGCCTCCGGGATCAAATACAAAATGCTCTGTTTGGCATTCAAAATCCTTCCTAACCTAGCCCCCTCCTACCTTTCTAGTCTTTTTATGCCTTACTCCCTTATTTCCTACTCTTTGATCCAGTAGTACTGGCCTTCTTCCTGCCCCATGAACAAAACTTTTCATCTGTTGACTCTGTGCATTATCTCTGGCTGACTTCCGTGCCTGGGGTGTTCTTCCTCCTCATCTCCTCCTGGCTTCCTTGGCTTCCTTCAAGAACCAGCTAACATCCCATTTTCTACTGGAAATTTTTTCCAAGCCCTCTTTATTCTAATGCTTCTCTCTTTTAATTGTTTCCTTTTTATCGATTGCTTATAATAGCTGTGTTTTTGTTGCTCCCCATTGGACTGTGATCTCTTTGAGAGCCCCTTTTTGTATCCCCAGCACTTAGCACAGTGCCTAGTACATAGCAGATGCTAAACAAGGGTTTGAGTGAAGTTAGGAAGGAGGAGGGGCAAATATTGGGGAAAGATGATGAGTTTGGGTGAGATAGGATTCCAGGTGGAAATGCTCAGGAGGCAATTGAAACTATGGGCTTAGAGCTAAGCTTCATAAAAGGATTTGTTCTGTGAAGTTTGGATTCAGTCGAGGGGCCGCACTTGAGGACCTAGAGAGCCGCATGTGGCCTCGAGGCCACAGGTTCCCCACTGGCTTAGACAATAAGTTCAGTGCTGCCTGTAGGAGCATAGGCAGGGAGTCAGGGTTCCAATTCAATTCAACAAACATTTTAAGTCCAGTGTGTGTGAGGTATCAAGATAAAGAGTTTCTGTCACGAGTAAGTTTTCATTACACTGAGGGGATAGTATGTATATAGAGAGAGGCAATTTGAGGAGTAAAGCAGGCAGGGAAGGCTTCCTGGAGGAGATGATATCTGAGGTGAGCTTTGGAGGAAGATAAAGATTCTTTTCCACCATCCTCTTCTCCTTTGGATAGCTTGGTATGAAGTCTGCAGAGTTGTTGGGGTTTCCTTGTTTACCATTACACTCAATGACAGAATCTCAGACTGATACTGCTGAAGTATGTCTGGAGTCAGCAGATCCCAGGGTCATATTTCATCATGGATTGGTGCCCATTATAACCTGGAAAGGCTTGGCCATGTGATTGGTTTATTGGCACTGACTGTGGATGAATAAGGATGAAGGATGAAATAAGGATGTGGATGAAACATGTCTCTGGCCTTGGTGTTCTAGCCTGTTTTCCTGGAACACGGATAATTAGGATCCCACCACTGGGTTCTGAATTCCATAAAAGTAAACCTTCACATTTGAGGATAAGCCAGGATGGAAACCCACACCTCCACAGGTGTAGGATATTACTTGGTTCAATGAATCTGTCTTGCTTGGTCTGTGGTATAAAAGTTCCACCCCATTGGTGCTGCATCCTTGTTCTGACTTCTCCAGAGCTGAGATGGCTGCTCCTAGGCTAATAATAATAACTAACATTTGTATAGCACTTTAAGGTTAGCAAAGATCACCAGCATCAGATGTCATCTGATATGGATCTGCTTTTAATTACTGATGGCATAAGGTATCTGAAAAACAGCTGTTCTTAGTGACTGGTTAACATATATTTAGGAGCTTCCTGCCATCACTGTTTCCTATGCAATTGAGTCATTGTGAAAGCATGGCTACCTCTAGCCTGCTGCATTTGCCCTGTGCCTAAGTGCATAGAAAGCAATCTTCCACGGCCAAGATTTGCCTCAGTGAAAGTGTCTTCCATTCTGCTACTGTATGCTGTCTACCTTTCCTGGCTATGTTCATAACAAGAAACATTATACTTTTTCTGTGGAACTATGATCACCCTGAAAAAATTTACTTCTACATGCAATATTGCATGGAAACTGATTACCTTTGCTCTCTGTGGCTGCTCTGCCTTTTTTCCCCCCATCATTTTTCAGTTGGGTGGAACTCTTTGTGACTTCATTTAGGGTTTTCTAGACAAAGATACTAGAATGGTTTACCTTTTCCTTCTCCAGCTCATGGTATAGGTAAGGAAATTGAGACGAACAGGGTTAAGTGACTTGCCCAGGGTCACACAGTAAGAGTCTAAGGTTGGATTTGAGTTCCTGTCTTCCTGACTTTAAGCCTGGCACTCTATCCACTGTACTGCCTAGCTGCCCTGCTCTGTCTTAGATTATAGCAATATCTTTTTTTTGGAGGGGAGTTCTTGAAATATTGAATAAGTAAATTATTATAACATTTTTATTTTTCTTGTGATTAAATGTTTATGTTGAACACTGCTTCAGTGTTTACATGGCTTATAGAAAATCTAAGTCAAACATTCTGTTAACTAGAGTATGTTTATTTTAAGCCAATAGTATTAAATTTTGTCCTAGGTTCATAGGTTTAGCACTGGAAAAGACCTTAAAGGGCATCCAGTCCAATTCCCTTATATTACAGATCAGGAAACAGTATCAGAAAGCTTAAATGACTACTCCGAGGTGAGAAAGGTAGAAAGTGACAGGGATGAGATGTGAGTCCAGATCAAATCCATTGAGCTTCCCACTGTGTCCTGCTACCCATCAACTTAGTGCCATTGTAACTAAACTCTTCTGATAAAGAAAATAAGAATTCAGTAAATGTATTAGATATTTGGTGGTTTTAAAATTCCAACATACCTGATTCACAGACCTGAGTGAATAAAACAGATTCTTTTGATTGCTAGAATCACTAGGACTTCTGAACTCTAAAATGCTATGCATTTAGAAATCTGTACCTCAGGCAAGAATCTGCATTTAGTAGATGCACCTTTGAGGGGAGGAGTGCCCACCATTGGTGGTGGTGGTAGTGGTGATTGTTGTTGTTTGTCCTTTCTGGAAGAGGACCATGATGTCAGGGAGGTGATGCCATGACATGCAAGTGAATTTGATTTAAGTGAGGGAGGGCTGTGCAAAGTCACTAGCCTCACTTTCTCCTCTGGAGCCATCTGGGTCTACTGGCCAGATACAGGGAATGAATCAAAGGAAATTGAAGGTAATCCTTTATCTCATGATGAAATTGCTGGCTAAGACCCTATCAGCCCATTTAATTTTAGATTCATTTTCAGATAGGTACTGCCCAAAAATAACAACTGCTAAAATAAGGGATGGTGGGAGGTTTATTCTGAATATTAAACTGAATAATTGTAGAAAAAGTTATAGTAACTCCTCTTCTCTCTATAGATTCATGAAACTTTAAAACTGGAAGAGATCTTGGCAATCTTCTATCAGGAGTTAACAAGCTCATATGGTAGGTTAAATTCAACCCATGGTCTACCAGCTAAAAATGTGTTTTGTTTTGTTTTGTTTTTATATTTTAAAAATAAAGTTTCATTGTGTATAAAAATCACCATTGTACAAAATTAGGCCTCAGAATTTGGCTCTCTGCTGACCCTTGATCTAGCCTGATACTCTTGTTTTATAAATTAGGAAATGGAGGCCCAGAAAAGTGACATGATTTGCCCAAAGTCTCATCGTCAGTGGCAGTTTGCTTCCCAGCTCTTTCTTCCTATATCTCCAGGGGGAAAAGCATCATTTCTGAGACACTACGGCATCTACTTTCTTGCTGTTATTCAGAAGATTGATATGATCTATAACTTCAAATTCCCTCACCTTGGTAATTTCAGCAGTGCATCTGAGCCATTCATGTGTGACAGAATACTACAGAGGTCAGGGGAACAGGTAAAATTTCCCTTGAGAGGGACCATATCCCTGGGTTCTGGTTCTCCATTTTTCAGTTCTCAGCATTCCAGTACCTGGAGTTGGGATTACCTTTATAAAAGATGCCCTTTATTTACCCTCTAACCACCTACCCATCAAAGCTTTCTCCTCACTAGTCAGTCAAGGGCAAGTCAGACATTCTTACTCCAGCATTTCATAGGTTGTTATGTCTGCATAAAGGTAAAGAGATTAAAAGGAAGAAACTCACTGAGCCAAGAGGAGAATGAGGGGGCTTTAGGTGGGGAGATCTGGAAGTAACTGTTAATATCAGGGAAAAGAAGAAAGGCAGAAAAAGACATCAGGAGAGAGAGAAGATGATGGAAGCCAGAAGGTATGGGGATGAATGAATATTCCAGTGTGTCTGTGAAATACTGGCTCATTGTACTCAGGTCATAAGATTTTAAAAATGTTAAGGCCCAGGGAGATGAGCTAAAGTTCAATGCCTTTATTTTATAGATGGAGAAACTGGGGCCCAGTAAGGTAAAGTCATTTGCCCAAAGTCACATGGTTAGTAAGTGGCAGACCAAGGGTTTGAGCCCAGATTTTCTGATTCTAAATTAGTATTCTTTTCAATTAGCTCCTAGATTTCTTCTTCTGATCTGGAAGCTGCTCTCACTACTCTCACTACTGCCATGGGGCCCATTGAGGCAAAACTGAAGCTTAATACTGATGGACCAGCAGCAGCTATGTCCTGTAGCCCCACATGGGCTATTTTGAGTCCCAAGGCCTTTTTATTCCTTTAATAAACTTGAAGAATATCACTTGCTTATAGTCACATAGCTAGCAAGTACTGAAGCCAGGATCTGAACCAATTCTGAGGAAAATATTTTGTAAATCTTAAAGTGTTAAGTGTGAACTACTGTTATTGCCTGGTCAATCATCAACAAGCCTCTATTAAGCACTTACTATGTGCTAAGCACATACAAACAAAATGAATAATCCCCGATCTCAATTTCTCAGAAATGATGCTTTCCCCCCTGGAGGTGTGGGAAGAAAGAGCTGGGAAGCAAACTACCATTGACTATGAGACTTTGGGCAAGTCATGTCACATTTCTGGGCCTCCATTTCCTAATTTATAAAATAAGAGGGTCAGGTTAGATCAATGGTCAGCAGGGAGTTTATATTCTATTGGTGGGGTAGGGAATCACATATAGCTACGTGTGTGTGTGTGTGTGTATATATGTATATATATGTATATGTATATATATGTATATGTATATATATGTATATGTATATATATGTATATGTATATATATGTATATGTATATATATGTATATGTATATATATGTATATGTATATACACACACATACACACAAACACATATATACATATATGACATTATATCATATTAAAAATAAATATAAAATAGTTTAGGATCAGAAGAAACTTACAGTTGGAAAGGTCAGGAAAAACCTTTATGTGGTGCTTAAGTTATCTTGAAAAAATAAGAAGGGGATTTGGATCTGTAGTTACTGAAGTAGACTGTCAATTGATCCTTGAATATATATTTTTGGACCTAGCCAATGAGAGGGTTTCTCATTTGACTATGTTCTATGTCTATTATTTGTATTGTGGGGTGTATTTGCTGTGAACGGCACCCTAAGGGGATTATCTTGTGTTCTAGGTTAACCATTCTTATATGATTAAATGCTGTTGTGTTTTTTAATGCTGTGCTGTTTAAATCCAGATGGTTTTGTAAGAGATTGCGAAATTCAAAACTTCAGGGAGGACTGTGATAGGCCAGGCCTGTACAATGTACAGCCCATGGACCACTTGCAGCCCATTGAACAATTTCTAGTGGTCCACAAAAAAATGTAGAGGCTATAAAAGAAAGTAAAGGTGTAAGGAGTGCACTGTCCATGCCCCGCTTCACCTGCCTTCCACTAGTCACTACTGCATCCACCATTGGCAGGTGGTTGCTACTGCACACTCTCTCCTGTTTTTCATGTGACTGAAGGCAACCAACCATCGTCAGTCTGTCTAGTCTGAGAGGAGCGAGAGTTGTATCTTTTCACTGTGTTTTTGGTCATTACTGGTGTTGAACAGAGACAAAGTGAGTGCAGCCACGTGCCAACACAGCTGATGTCTGTTATGCAATGAGCGGCAACAACTCAAGGGCTTCTTCCCCTCCCTCGCTGCACACCCACCCTCTAAATTTCATGAGTGTCTGGCACCCTCTCCAACACCAGACACTCAGTTCAGTATTTCTTTGCATGTGGGCAGTTGCTGTGGAGATTTTTAGGTTTTAACATTAAAGTTTTTGGGGTGAGTTTATAAAATGGGTGACAAAAAGGAAAAGATGATCGAATCAGAACATAGAGCATTTAATCTGGAGTGGACAAATAGATATTTGTTTACTGACAAGAGACAAAATATCCTGCCTGGTTTGCTGAGATGTAATAGCTGTTCCAAAGGAATACAATCTTCCTCGCCATTTTGAATCGAAACATCCTGACTTACACAAATTGGATACCAATGACAAACTAATGTGTCCAAATTATTGAAAAATCTCTGTGGGAAATAATGTTTTTTTCAAGAAAGTAAACTCAGAAAATGAGGTGGCTACTAATGTTTGTTTTCAGATTTCTAAAGAAATTGCTGCTTCTGGGAAGTCTTTTACTGAAGGTGACTTCATAAAGAAATATTTGCTGATTGCAGTTTCTGGATTATGTTACAATAAAAAAAAGTGTTTTTAAGAATATAAGTTTGTCCCGTATGATCATGCAGCGAAGAGTAGCTGATGATAAACTGATCACTGACAAGAAGTGTAATATGTCCCATTAAATAAATGTGAATAGTAAGAAAACCTGAAAAAATGTGTCATTTAACAAAGTAATTTTTTAACATTAATGTGATTTCATGACAAAAATGTTAAATAAGTGTAATTAATTGATATTACTTGAAATTTCCCTTTTTGAAATATGATTTATTTGCAAAATAGTTTAATCATTAAATATACCCTTACTTGGAAAGTGAACCACTAAAAACCTATCTGTGGCCCAAGGAAATTTAGCCTATTTTAATTTTGGCCCCTACCTACTGCTAAGGTGTGCAGATCTGCAATAGGCTATTGAGATAAGCTCAAGTTGATTTCTATTTAATTGAATTCTCCACGGGAAGAGTAAAGTCTGAAACCTGAATGATGAGAATTCTGTGATTTGTAGTTCAGTTGGCCTGAAGCCCATGAGAGAGATGGAGCTATTGTGGTCTTTGAGCTTGGGATGTGGGTAAGGGAGAGGAAGGTTGGACTTTGGTTGTAACCAGGAATAAGGTGATGACCCAGGCAACAGGGCATATAGCCCCTGAAGGAGTGATCATCATGGTGGGTCATCAGATAGACACTTGCTGGCATCCTAGAACAAAGAATTCAGATCAAAGCTGCTCATTATAACTTACCCCTTTAAGAGAGGGGGGTCTGAAAGTTTTTTTTACTCTCTTAAAATTCTTTGTGGCTAACAGGTAATTTTTATAATTTCCCCTTGCTGTTTCTTTAAGCTTTTTTTATTGTGATTTTTGCTTTATATAAAAATCTGTTTCGAATACTTGAATTTATGTATCACATTTTGGGCTAGAAAAGGAGAAATGAAAGATTCCAGTAACTATGTGGGGGTACATAGAACTAAAAAAAAATAGGTCAGAGAACTAAATTGATATGTTGTCCTAATGATAATATATCAACTCTGATCTGGGGGCTCAAGAGCTATATGTGGTTTTAAAATTGATAAACTGTATTTTAAGCTCCCTAAAATAGTAGAGAAAGGGAGTTATGTGGAATTGAAGAAATTTTGCCTCCAGGCTAGAAAGTGAGCTCTTTGTGGTAGCAGGGAATACCCTGGTAGGAATCAGCTTTACTAAAATGCCTGCAGGATGAGGGAGTAAAAGGGTGAGTATTCAATCACCTTTGCTCCCCAATGACACCTGGTGAGTACCCAAGAATGAGGGACAGACAGTAGCACAAAGGCATAGAAATGGGATGCGGAGGGCCATGTGTAAAGAACAGCAAGAAAGCCAAGTTGGCTGGATTGTAGAGTACAGGAGAGGATGCTTAATGAGGCCAGAAAGGCAGGTCAGGACCAGGTTGTGACGAACTTTAAAAAAACCAAATAGAGGAATATGTGTGTGTGTACATGCGTATATACATATATACACACACATACATACACAGAGGACTATATATACACATATATGTGTGTATGTGTATGTCTGTATATACACACAAACATATATCATATAATATATTATTATATATTTTTTATATATTATATATAATATATATACACACACATAGTCATCATAGAGGCAATAGAGAGCTATCGAAGGTTATTGAGTGACATAATGAGATGTGGAAAACCAGTTCGGCAGAATAGGGAGAGAGAAAAGTTTCTCAATTGGTAGCCAGAGGGCCTGAGTTCAAATCTTGCTTCTGTCACTTCTTTTGTCCTTAGTTTCTTCCTATGAGATGATGGGGCTGGACTCTCTAAGGTCTCTTTTGGTTATAATCTGATAAAGCTTTAGGAAATTGTAGAGT